GTGGCACTATTATTAGCCCAGATGTTATTTGTCAGTGTCTGATATCAATACATTCCTTTCCGATTTGTTGATATTGTTCAAAAACGTTCACTGATACTTCTTGCAGCACACTCATCGGAATTATGCCTTATTTGGATTGGGGTATGGTAACAATAACGATACTGTCGTGTATTTCGATGTTGTTCGAGAGCCCATGGCCTACCACCGGTGAAAACCTCGTCATGAATAATCTCTACCTGCAGGTATACTTCCTACATTTATTTTGTGTTTATTTTCTCCTCCATTGCCCGTTAAGAGCTACACAGTCGTTCTTCGATATTTCTTGTTCGTAGGTTTATGTGGATTTCTTCGGACCACAACTGGAAGAGAAACGGTACAAAGTACGCGATTTTTTGCAAGGGCACTCAATTATGGGTAAAACCCAAGCCTCTTGGTCGGGCTTCGGACCTGAAACTCGTTCCTTCTTGGTAGATGTGCTGATCGCTACACATCTGAGGCCACATGCATTCTTCCCCCAGGTTTATATGATATATTTACGTAGCTTCTTACAAAGAAAGGCGAACTCATCAACCCGCCACTCAAAATGGTGGATGAGATAGTAAATACCTATACATATACGTTCCTCGAGACGCTACGTTCGAATCTGCTTCGGTAGCTATTCGCGAACGCATCCCTGGAGGAAGGCGACTCGAGTCTCAGTGCGAGCCCGTGTTATGCCCGAAATATTTTGAAAAATAATGATATGTTGACAGCCTTTCTATAGAATATTTCTGAAAGGAGCAAAAGTACAGACCCGCATGGAATCGATCCCACGATCTTCGCCCTGAGTCAGGGTCATTACCACTTCCCTTCCCTGTTTCATAAGTTCTGTCAGAAAGCAGATTCGAATTCGGCGTTTTGAGGCACGTGTATAGGTGTACATCACATTTAATGGCGGACTGAGCAATTGGCCTTACCTTGTTAGCAGTCACGGTGCTATAGAGTGATGAGCTGAAAGCGAACGTTAGCAATGAGCAGTTAAGCTTCAGAAGATATCTATAGTTTTTGATTGACATTGTTTTACCAATTGCTTTTTCATAACAAATGGAGGAAAATGATCTCGTGAGTCCTCCTCGCGTCTCAGTCGTGCGCTGAGTCAAGGCAGCATAGGCACTGGAGTCCCAAAGCTTGTGTGCATTTGCGGCGCTACGACCCCTCGTGACAGGTGCTCATGTCTTGGAGGGACATTCAGAACAGGCGTTGAACCGGCTGAATCTCTTCGTAGGGGAAGAAGGGGCCCCAAGCCTTTGTAGATAAGAAGAGGGAAGCCTTTTGTAGAGAGAAGGGGAAGCCAAGAGGGAGGGGGGAATAATGGAGAGTAAAGGTTGCTTACATCCTCCCACAGAACCCCTTTCCCTCCCCACGGCATAGTTGCACGTTCCGTAAGTGGCTCACTCCCTTCAATGCCCCCCTCCTACTGACATGAGCGCCTCGTGACATCCCATTATTAAGTGCAGCAAGAACGGCCTATAAAGCCATACAATCAAGGATATCAGTAAGGGCATTTGCTTCATAGTTTGACATCGGCATAATGTTGGTCTTCGAATTTTTTCCCATTTTTTCTTTTTTTTATTGGATCTAAACGGTTGTGAATGAGCGCCAAATTCTCTTTGAATCTCTAGAGAAGAATATAAGCTGTCATTCTCTATGGACCATGTTGACGAAAAGACTTTCAGATTGCTGACTATGTGTTTGTGCTGACAATGACTTTTGAATTACTGGTGAAGATCGTCGCGAACGGCTTGTTCTTCACGCCTAAAGCTGTTGTCAGTGATGTCGGCGGTGTGATGACCATGTTCATCTATTTCGTACGTTTACGTGCCTTTTTTGCTACTTTTTAGCTGCGGCTTTATACAAGCAACGTCTCTATCCTTCCTATCGAGTTCGGGTCCCGGGCTAGGGTGTGGGTAGGAGGATATAGCTTGCTCGACAGGGCTGGAGGTCAATCTCTGGTTTGATCCGAACCATGTATCTGCTGCGGTCCTCTGTGCGGGAGCCTCATTTGCGTTCCTCTATCTCTCTTCTAGGGCCAAAGTGGTGTAGAGGCAAGTGGCGCTGCTATGAGGCGCGCGGTTCTGGGATGGATTGTGCGTCGTCCAGGCCTAACCAAGCCTTCCATCCTCTCGGGGTCGGTTAATTGGTACCAGACTTGTCTGGGAGGATAAAACACTGACTTGCACATCGGCTGACCCCGCAAGTCATTGTGGAGGCCAATAGCATTCAAAATTCAAATTCCGTTGAGATTCTGCATGGAAATTCATGGCTCACTCAAAAGGGACTAGTCAGCGCAGAATGCTCTAGGCACTATATCAGGTCCAGCAAAATATCTGTCGTTTTTCGACCCTGAAGTCCAATGTCCGACCTAAAATATTTTGAACTGAAATTGAAACCGTTGGAATCTACAAACCTCTCAAAATAAGATGCTCTTCCAATCGGTCAGTTAGTTCAGAGAACTGGAGCTCTGGAAGTGATGAACTCGACGAAGGTCGCTTCAACATCATGTAGGTCTCGAAGCGTCCCTTATAGGAGCCGTCTAGGTTCTCGAAAAGTAGCACTTTATAGGCAAGATGTCTAGTAAATAAAATCCGCAGCATGATTCCGTAGACCCGTTGGTTCAGCTTGTGCAGGGTTTTTATCTGTACCGATGTGCGACCAAGACACCGGTCAGGGCTGTCGGTCCCTTCACTATGACGAATTCTAGACTCATGTGTTGGAGTTTTTGGTGATTCAACGTACTCCTAAGAGGACTATACCGCTGTAACAATTCACCTGGTATCGGAGAGTTGGGCCAGCCGCTCACCTCATGGAAGTCATCATAACCTTTCTTCA